TGTTTTTTATATTCTTTATTTTTTATTAGCTTGGTGGTGATGGAACCGTATTATACACTTCATGGCTATTTCAGAAAGTCGTTCCCCCTGTTTTACCTTTTCATATGGGTTCTCTTGGTTTCTTGACAAATTTTAATTTTAAAGATTATAAAAAACATATAACATGTGCTTTGGACGAAGGTATACGTGTAAACCTAAGAATGAGATTTACTTGTACCGTTTATCGACGAGTAAAAAATCCTTTAAAAGCAACTCGTTGTGGTGAAACTGGTAAAATCATGATTGATTGGAACGAACTTGAAACTTCTTCCCATTCAAATTCTGAACATGAATGTGGTCATGATAAAGACCTACCTTGTTTAATTACTCAACCGTCTGAAACTTTTCAAGTTTTAAACGATTTGGTTGTTGATCGAGGTGCTGGTCCTTATATGAGTTTACTGGAATTATTTGGTATGTCTCTTTATTTACTAATCCTCTCTTACCCATTTATTTATTCATTTATTTATTTATTTATTTATTTATTTATTTTGATAAATTTTTAAATTTTTTATTATTTTATTTAATGAATTTTTATTTTTCATCATATTCTATATCACTTTCTTCAGTTTCTTCTTCTTCCACCACTACAAAACTTTTTTGTTTCTCACGCTCATTCCATCTTAAACATCTTGATATTGAATTAAACCAATCTTTAGATTGAGATTCTAAACATACAGTAGGGAAAGGGAATTTTGATGGAGTAACTTTTATGTGATCACCCTCTGAAGGAAAAAGAAATATATTAGATTATAAAATATTAAATTAAGCAAAATTGTAAGAAGGTTAAATAGGAAAAAGAAATTACGTTTTAATTCGATTCTCCCTCGACCATCAAAGCTTGCCCACGCAGTACTACGACTATTATAAGGAACGCATATTCTTAACTCCATTGAATCCGGTAAAAGCATTGGACGAAAAGATAGAGTGTGAGGACAAATAGGAGTAATTAATAGAGCAGATATTGCAGGATGAACTAGAGAACCGCCAGCTGATACAGAATAAGCAGTTGAACCTGTAGGAGTAGCTACTACAAGTCCATCAGCTTGGACAGTTGTGAGATGTTGATCATCACCTAATTATTGATGAAATAAAAGAAATTGTTGAAGAATGAAAATAAGCAAACATAATAAAAAATAAAAATTCATTAAATAAAATAATAAAAAATTTAAAAATTTATCAAAATA